AAAACTCAAAACCCATTTCTGCATTTCGAGTTGTTTATTTATACGGCATGACTATTTAGCTGCATATGATAAATTTGTTATCTTTTTAACTGAAAAATAAACAAGGATAGTTTCATTAGTTCTATGCAACACGTATTGTTCCAAATATCACAATTACAAACAATTGATTAAAAAATAGCCGGTGTTTCTTTCATTTTTCAACCAATATAGGCTAATGGACCTCTTGCGTAGACAATGTCAAGATTCAAGTGATGGAAGAACATTTCATCCTTGGGGCTACAAGGCTAAATACTCAGAGATAATAGGTTTCCCTCCATCGCACATACCATGTTTCCTTTAGCCCATGGCATATTTCTGGGTCCAGCTCCTCGCAGTTGTCTCGTACTTGTTTCTGTCCGTCTTGTACATGTGAGCAATCTCCGGCACCAATGGATCATCGGGATTTGGGTCCGTCAAAAGAGAGCAGATTGAAAGCAACACCTGGAGACAGAAACCAAACAATAATTGACTCCACAACATAAACCGATTATTTAAAATAAAATAAAAAAAAGACTTTTGTCTCCTATTGAATTCAAGACTCAAAATTAGATTCATAAAAAACATGATGTTCCGTTAAAGAACTCAAATGAACCACGTTTTGATTGCACATTGACGTATATAATTTAAAGAGGGTGCACAAATGACAAGGTTTAAAGTCACTCTCTTCTGCACCTACAGAGGGGTTGACACACACAAGCACAGAGGGAGAGAGAGAAAGAGAGAGAGAAAAACTAGCCCTATAGGCTCTAGTAATTCTATCGTCATTCCACAATTAATTATAGATCCCAATAAGTGCTGCTTTTTTTTCAATTATATTCACAATATCAGGGTTATAAGACAAGAACCTTCGAGATAGTTAGAGCAGGGCTCCACTGCTCCTTCAAGATATCAAGGCAAATGCTTCCATTGCTGTTTATGTTTGGGTGGAACACCTTTGTTCTAAATGCCACCTGCAAAAGTCCTCCAATGTCACACAGAGAGAGAGAGAGAGAGAGAGAGAAATCGGACCCCTACAATCCGATGCAATTATGCTATATGTGATTACGTGACAATGACAGCAGCACCCTAGTTCTGTCGGCAAA